TCTCGCGTTCTATGCGTCCTAGCGCAAAAATACGCCCAGATTCGTAATCAGCGCGACGAGACGCATCGATTTCATGCATCGAAAAGTCGAATTTCGCGAATTTGTTTTCGATTTAGAAAAACTCGATTTTCTCGCGTTCTATGCGTCCTAGCGCAAAAATACGCCCAGATTCGTAAAGGACGCGACGAGACGCATCGATTTCATGTACCGAAAAGTCGATTTTCGCGAATTTTTTTTCGATTCAGAAAAACTCGATCTTCTCGCGTTCTATGCGTCCTAGCGCGAAAATAAGGCCTATAAGGACTATAAGTGAAATCGATGTGTCTCGTCGCGCCATTCACGAATCTGGCCGTATTTTTGCGCTATGACCCATAGGAAGCGAGAAAATCGAGCTTTTCTAAATCGAAAAAGAAATCGCTCAAATCGAATTTTCGATGCATGGAGAAATTGCACCTATACCCTTCCCTATATATCGGAAGCACCCTTCCTCGCCGCACTGTTCAGCTATAAATCTCGCATTCCACCTGAGTGGCATCTGGAATATCTCCATGCACTTTTCGGATTAAAAAAAAAAGAATGAAAAAATTTGTCGGCGCCCTCCAAAGCCCCACTGTCTGATGTTGCCCTTGTTTCCAGCGATTGCCGTAGTTAGCGACAAGGCATCGCTTGAGATCAAGGTTCGGGTTTTGTCCGCGGAGTAGGAGGGCGTAAAGTTGTCAATCGCGAAGAAATTCCCTCCATCCGGGCCTTAAACACGAAATCCCCTAGATTTGGTACTGTGACGTCCTGAGCTCGATAGCCAGTAGATGGCACTATGTATGATTAATCTTAGTCCGCGAAACTTAAATTCAGTTAAGTTATTCTAAAATTTAATCAGTGCCGAAATACGCAGAAAATAAGTAAATACAATGGACAACGGACAATGAATAATGAAAACAACACCACCAGTGTTGGAAAACCATTACACATAACGATAAATCTTGACCTCTTGAGTTTAAGTTTCCCATTTTTATTACCCTTAAAATTCGTTGGATAAATATTTTTTCCAAACCCGAAACTCGAGAAGGAAATTATAAATCTCCAATTCAATACGGTCTAAGTCATAAAGTCCCAGTTCTGTTTTTGCTCAAGTTTTTGTTTCAACACGTGTGAGGTCTCCTTTGTCTATTGTGTCGAAAGCTGAGGGCCTGAGGCCCTTGACAGAGGAAACGTGATGTCACGCGTTTTCCTTTTCACCGCTTTCACTGTTCTACCCCTCTTCCCTTCCCTTGATCAAGTTGTGTGCGCAATGTTTAAACTAGCGGGGGTTGTAGGACCCAACCATTAGAAAATTAGTTAAGTTTAAGTGAGTTCGATTTTAACTTGCTACTGTGACGCTTCTCTCTTCAATTTAATTATTCTCCAAGATACACAGTTTAGTTTTGTTTTAGTTTTCTTAAAGTCTGTTAGTATTTCAAGGTTCAACTTAATTTTGGAAGTTATTAAATGAAGTGTGTTATGTGCTCTCCTAAGCACTGGTGTTTTGGATTTATTCTATTTATAAAACCTGAATCCGACTATTTGAAATTAAACGAGTCGACATCGATGGAGTCCTCATTTGAGGTTTAGCGACTTACGTATTCCACGTTTTAAAAACTTGGCGCAATTATTTGTGAATGGCGCCACTGTCCTACTTTTTCTAGGAACTTCGCTAGGACATAACAGTACCGTTCCGGAAGAGGGGACGTATTTTATTTGAATTGGTTTTATTAATTTAATATAAATTAGATTAGATTTTCTAATCTAATTTAATTCAATCGCAGAGAAAAAAATAACATAAACTCCCCGCCTCCCGGGCTAAATTTGTTCAATAATTTTCCAATCTTCCTCGGTTTCCGGAATGATTCCCAAATTTTCACGGTTTAAAATACTTCTAACAGTTCTGGAATTTTCAAAATTCAACCACCAATAATATCATACATTCAATTTTTGAACTTTTTTTGCTGATTTATTTTTACTTTTCATTTTACGATTTCTATAATTATTCATAGAAAACCATTACATTGAAATGCAATGAAAACATTATGGTGAAAATTTCAAAAACTTCTCTAGGAATGCAGAATAAAATTTTTTGATAAGAATAAATGAATAATAAAAATTAAAATTATATATGTACTACCCACGAGATCGCTCACGCGCGCTGTGCACGCGCATTCATTCGAAATGTTTAAGATTTAAGATACTCTTACTGATATTCAGGATATTGCGAGAAATTCTAAATATTTCGAGATCGATCCCCTTTCTCCTTTTTATATTAGGAAGATACCAAAGGGAAACAGATGCCGGTAGATCAGCAAAATTCGGAACAACCACTGCCTATTTAAATTTCTCTGATTTATTTAACATTTCAAGATCATTCTAACATTACCATGATTCATAATTCTATTATATAAATATCTAAGAAAAGAAGTTAAAAAATGGCATGAATCTCTATTTACATCATTGAATACACAGTACGTCTCATTATGCAATTTGTGGATTACCGGGATTACTCAATGTTACGTTATTGCTAGCGATTTTCACTGGGTCGAATTATCGATTACAAGCACATCTCTGTGACTGTATTATGCACTTGTCAAGTTGTGATTATGTAAAAGAATTAATCAACTCTCGTGTTGTTTGATAGATGTGGAAATGCAGTTTCATTTTGATTATGTGTGGTGTGTTGACGGTTCTATTTCTTTATTGTGTTCCACCAGTGGTCAATATTATTCTCGTTAATCTCCAGAAAATTAACGGGCAGTTGTCGAAAAGGAATGGTTTTGGGTAAAGTTGAGAGAAAGGAGGGTGGATAAACGTAAATGTTTGAATTTTCGTGGATTTCAGGGATTATGCCCTCATTTCTCTCACTGGTTTATGCTGTTGATTTAAGACTGATTTGGTTGACAAGCCACGTACATAGGGCCTGCTTTCTTCTTTGCCAGGTCTGTTGCTTTTTTAGCTGCGTCTTTCACCTTCTCTGCTTTGTCGTGGAGCGAGTGCTGAAGGTCCTCTGCTGCATGGGTGAATTTCGTCATTGATGGCTCGTCGTCCTGATAATTTATAATAGTACAGAGTAAATCAAGTTGAAAAATGGGGAATATAGATATAAATTTATTACATAATTAGCAAATCCCATCTGCGCGAGGGTTGGACTCATGTGTTGGGCTGTGCTTGGGAACATGTGAGCAAGCACGTAGTTGAAACCACCGCTCATTCTCATACAATTTTTCTTAAATCTGTCAAGCCCGAAGGCTTGAATTGCACTTCTAAATCCGTAAACCGAACTGTCTATCCATGCTGATCTGTGAGCGACTGTCCAGCCTCGATTCTCATCAGATACTTTGTACACAACTTTTTCAATAACGCTCTGAAAGAAAATTCTGAATAAATATCTTCCCATAATTATCACCAACCTCAATAACTCTCCACTGAATTTTTTTGTAAAATGGAAAAATCAATTGGGAACTGTGAATTACAGTTCAATTATCCCGCAGATGGTTTAAAATCATGGAATACAAATTTTTGAAATTTTCCTGATTAAAAAAATTATATCATAATATATTAAATATTATTATAATAGTAAATATATTAAGTTAATCAATTCTTTGCCCAGAAAATTCATTCAATTTTTTTTCAGTCTCTCACCATAACTTTGGTGTACCCTAAATTCCTCGTATACGAGGTAAGTGTCTTCTCCTCAGGGTCAACGACAGTTTCCTCAACAATTTTAACAACATTCTTACTGATAAACCTCTCCCCCCACTTAGGCACCCTATTAGTTTTTGTGAGGAGTCTTTTGGTGTACAGTTTTCCATCCTTCACTTCCCTCGATATGGTATCCTCAGTAAGTACATGCGAACTAAAACCAAAATGACCTTTGAACTCTTTCCTCATCCTCCAACATTCACAACAATTTACCTATGCGGATTTGGATATCGTTTCCAGAAGCCCTGAGCAACCTGGCTCCAGTCAAACTGGAAAGTCGTGCTGTTCTCATGATACTTGACCATTATTCCGAGTCAAAACAACCGGTGAACCGAATTTCTAATTCCTCTCGAGATTGTCCTGCAGAGACCACTGCACCCTTCCCCATTCAATCCTCTGGGAAAAAAAACAAATCCTTTCACACCATACACAACAAAAAAAAACACATTTTCATTTTCATAGATGGCATGTCCTCGACCCACTCCCATAATTCGACAATTACATAACTTTGTGTGAAGAAATCAGGCCCGAGACCCTAAGAACCCTAGCCCCTCCGAATTTTTTTATTCAATCAACTTTATAATTGATCAAATAAAAATGGGACAAGACACCTTGGGGATGAGTATCTATCAAAATAGACAGCACATGGTGGTCATGGTGGGCCCGATGACGAAGAAATTATGAGAACGGTGAAATTTTTGTTAAATACTTACTGGTGATCAAATCCGCGAGACTTATCACCCCCTCTATATCCTCAGAACCATTATTCCGAATAATTATCAGTGATAACACGTATGCGGTACAAAGGGAGTGGATTGCTCCTAGAATACCATTACAGCTTATCACTCCGACCTAGTAACAAAAACAGTTCGGGTGGTCCGGGGGATCAATGAGAATGGCGCAGAGCCATTACGTTGGTAGCACTGAGACAAAAAAAAACACTGTCACCTAGTAGCGGAGATTGTTTACGTCTCAACGGATAAGTGAGTATTTGAATTGATTGTGACGTTTATTTCTGGATCAAAGAGCCGCTCAAATGTCTTTAAAAACGAAAAAGATGGATAATTTACTGAAACCCATTGCGGTGCAGGTAATTATAACTTTTGATTACTCCTTTTTCTTTTTTTTGAGCCCTACGCAATTCTGTCTACCTCAATTTTCAATATTTTCGGAGCCATTAGTATGATTTCAATTCATAATATCTTATTTTCAAGCATCAAAAAATACCCTAATTTTGAACGAAAATTCGTTGAATTTCACTCTACCAATCCAGATATATCGACAGTTGAATATGATGCATTTTGTTGGATTCTGTCAACCACATCTTCAGAAAATAGTACATTGACTCTTTTCTTGAATTATTTTCACAGGTGAATAAATTGAATCATCTCCTTGAAGATGACAATAACGATCCTGAAGACGTGACCTCGGTAAAATCGATTTTACTTTCTGAACTAGAGAAATTTACCACGATGCTGCAGCTGTCGCGGAGTCGGTACTGCGATGGCAGTGCTTCGTACGATGAAATGAAGTCCAAGATAACATCGATAATAAAAGGGTTCTGTACGATGTCAACGACACCATCAGCCCCGAGGGATCCAGGAAATACAGTCCAGAAGTTTCTGGAGGAACTGACGAGCGCTCTGAGGAACCTGGAGAACCTGGAGCACTTCGATCTGAAGGAGCAGCTGCAGTACACGATGACTTACGTGAAGGAGATGGGAGAGGTCAATGAGATCGAGGACTTTAAGAACATAAAAGAAATCGGGGAGAGTCTCCTGGACATACTGGGACCTCTCCAGGACTACGGAAAGGGTCTAACATCGAGATCCTTGAAGGAAAAACTTGCTCTGTGCGTCTGCCAACTATGTGCAGCCTTTTCGATGCTCATGAGTGTTGTCTACACTCAGCACGAGATAAATCTACCCATGTACACGTCAAAGAGCTACATCTGTGGAAGAATCTGCTGGTGCCTCAGGATGATAAATGAAATCTTCGAGTCGAAGACTGTAGATCCTGAAAGTGACACAGAAAGAATTGATCATTTCGTTTATAAAATGGACATGGCTCTGGACATAATCTCTGATCTTCCTGAGAAGCCCCAGGGGGAGCAGATGATCGAGTGCAGTAGACTCTGGACTGCCGTTGAAGATGTATTCTCCCACGCAATGGTGATCGCCCAGGTTTGCGATCCTGAGAATTTCAAGGCTATTACTGGAGTGTGCCAATCGATAATGAATGAGTACGATAACCTGAAGGGGCAGATCTCTGCGGAACAACCAGATTTTATGCTCAATTCACTGTTCGTCAACACCTTTACTGACGCTCTTTACAGGCTCGAGAGGAAGATCAATATTTCCGTTCTATCTCTGGTGCTTGAAGTTTTCAGCGATCCCTTTGGGCCCATGAAAAAACTCGTGAAAATATGTGGTAACAGCCTAGCACGTGATAAGAGGAGCAAAAAGGATCTGGACGATCTTATCGAGGAGTTTGATCAGTTGAACGATAGGATCATGCAGGTGGGGCTATATGCTGTTGCCTGTTGCAACGACATCAACAGGGTGACGAAGATAAAGAATTGCATGGCTAGTCTGGAGTCCCTGGAGGCAGAGCTGGTGCCCTCCATCGTGTCCTTCTATCTGCATCCTCATAATTTGGAGATGAGGATGAATGTCAAGCTGTTTACGCGTCAATGGCAGTTGGAGATGAATAAATTGAAGAACTCTGTGAACTTGATCATCGATTCGTCCGCCTTCTGTCAGGTCGTTCTCGATGATCTGCAACCGAGGGTGCAGATTATGTCCGATGATTTGGATAATTTTCAGGGGATAACGCAGGCCCAGGTGCAGGCGTTTGTCCAGAGGGCCTGCACGCTGGCTACTCAGGTGACCACAGCTGTTGATGATGTGGGGAAGGATAGGGTGCACAAGCAGACGATTATGATGATCAGGGAGTTGAAGGCTGCGATTTTTCAGACCGATGTCGCCTCCAAGAATTTTTTGAAGGATAATCCGACAGAGCCTCAGCAACTGAGGGTTATCAAACGGTGTGAGCTCGTGGTGAATGTTGTTAAACGTCTCCAGCCTGCTCTTTTGGTGGTGATGAACAGTTCTCAGGGCGCTTTTGAAAAGTCCAACAGCTCGCGGGGTGATGGGAATTTGACTTTCGTGAAAACTCCGTATACTGTGAAGACACACAAGCCCATCGTGTCAATTCAGTCTGAAGGGAGTGTCAATAAATCCAGGACTGAGCTCTCCTGCTTGATCCCTTACATAGAGAGAGGGCGAACTATGCGAACCGAGAGGAGCATTATAATGTATAGGACCCCGAAGACTCAGGCCCGTGAAAAAAACGATGAGAATAAAAATGTCGACGATAATAGGGATACCAATGTCTTGAGGAGGGATTCTCCCTGCGTAAGGCAGCACCTCTTCTCCAGGGTGAGCTTTGACAGTGGCAGAGACATCGATCTCTCCTCTGAGAGCTGGAATTTAACTGGAATCCTTAATAAACTCTCCACTGCGTCTGTCTCCTTCGACTGGACAACGGGCAAGAAGGACGATGGGAATTGGTTGTTTGGCCTCGAGACTGTCAGCCAGTACTCGAGTATTGGGGGAGGCGATGCACCTTCTGCTATCGGGACGGCAGAGAGACTCGGGGATATTCGACAGATTGAGAAAAAACTCGCCGCTTTGAAAACGGATGGGTGAAATTTAGCGACACTCATCGCGGAAGTTATAAATTTATTTTTATTAATGATAGGATTTTTGCATTTCGATTTGATATGTTCAGAGTTTAATTTCGCCTCATGAGATATTTTTATTTTATTTGATCGTTCTTGGAGGAACGGTTTTTAAAGAATGGAGGTAATAAAACTGTTTTTTTTTTAATTCAGAAAATTTCGCTGTTTTGGATTTGGGGACACTCTCTTTTTCTTCCGCTGCCGCCGCTACGATAATCGCTGTTCAACCTTTGCCATAAGCACTGATCTCTCCTATAATCTCTCCGTCATGACACTTTCCAGTCAATTTTTTCATTTGGAAATTTATTATTCCCTCTGGAAAATGTACGGTAGTGGAAATTTTTTACAAGCTCGTGAAATTTAGTTCTAAATTAGAAATACGTCAAAGCAGATAAAGATTACTCGATTCGTCGAGGAGTTGACTCATCGACAGGTATGTAGTGACGATCAACACAATAACAATAACAAATCTCTGGCATATAAAAAATAGACAGCTGTTCTTTTTTTTGTGGTCTATTGTTGTGGGTGGGTTTTAACACGTTTTGGATGTCTGGGCTATTTTTTCTCGGTCTATTTCTGCTGCTTACCGGCATATGAGTAAGATCCTTGCCTGACATGCCAGAGGTCATGAGTGCAATTCTGATTCTGGATTTGATGAAACTGAACTGATGGACTCATTCGTGGGTTTTCTTGCCTCTGGAGTACTTTTCCCGCCGTTCTCCCAACGTTTACTACTAATTTCTGCGTAACTTCTCACGTATTTTTTCCAGTATTTTTCTCTCCGCGTACGTGAAATTTCGTAAACTTCACGTATTTTTTCTGGGAATTTTTATTGGACTTTCTCTCTCGATTACATGATCCCAAATGAGTTCAGATGACTTCAATGGATTTGAAGTGATTTCTGATGATTTCAGGACTTATTTCAAGATTCAAATTGATACTATTGTAATTTTTCGAATCGATTCCGTAATCGGTAAGCGAACTGAAAGTTCCGTAATTTTTTACTAAATATTTATCCGTGTGATATTCGATTATTTTGAATCCATAAAATGGATAAACCAAAGATTCGCAGAGAGTCGGAGAATAATTTTTTCAATGACAGAAATATTAGCGTATAAAATGATGGAAATATAAGACAGAACGTTATAATCTACAACTCTTCCGTTATCGGAAATACATCAGCAATATGACACTTTGATTAACATATTATTGATATAGTGGAAGAACGAATGGCATTTGAATGTAGCACAGGCGAGAATCCGTTGATTTCATCAATCGATCGAAAAGGTCATACATTCAAGGATCATTATTATACGATGATAACTCGATGAATTGTTTTAATGAGGACGAGTCACCATTATATTACGCATATTCATAAGAAGGTTGAGCATCCGTCGTGATCATCTGTGATTAAAATTCTTATTCTGATTGTAATTGATTCCAAAAGCGTTCCTCAAACTACACCCAAAAAATAAAAAAAATATTTTCAGATTTACTTTCTTCATTCAAGCTTTTTACGGTATGCAAATTTCGACTGGAATAAAGATTAATTGAAGATATCTAAAAACTAAATTTCATGATTAAGAGTAAATTTTTGGCTTTCGATTAATGAAATTCATCGTTTCAAAATTTTGGATGGAATCGCTAAAAAATTTGGCAATTCGAAAGAATAATTTCAGAAGTTGACGAGTCTCTGTTTCAGACGAAGAAATCCCAAATGAAAACTGGGATTTATTAATTTTTTATCAAGTATAAGATATACTGATAGATTTAGATGATAATGACATTTGTAGGAATGAATTATTTTCCTCGCACAAGGTAATAATGAAACTTGTGAAAAGTACTTTTTTTATGCAATAAAACAAAAATTTTTACGAGATTTTTTTCGAAATTTATAACTCCATGATTCTCCACAGTTAAATGTCAAGTGCTCATTAAACTGCATAAATTGAACTGCTCATCTCATTAACTCGTAAGCTAAAAGTGTACGTGCGAAGTAGCTAGTATGCAAAAAACAAATCATCCGACTCCAGTAAATCAACTGTTACGCGAATGAGACCACACGATGCAACAATTACACGGTGGATCATTCAGGACTACAGGTGAGTATTCGCTAGAGAGAATGTAATAGAATGCGAGCTAAATGTAGTCTCATAACGTAGCATAATTGCGCGTCTACCGTCTGTGAGAGTTTCAATGTCCCACGACGTGTATTCCGAAGCTGTCGACTTTTTTTTCGCACGTTTTTAATAAAACGGAAGACAAAATTCTTCACCAACTCTCCTTCCTCCTTAGATTGTTATGAACTATCATTTTCCCCATATTTATCTCTAGCATTGATCATCGGTACTTTTTTTTTTGTTTGCTACCTCTGCTACTGTTACGAAAATACTTACGATAATTTATTTCGTCATAGGAATAATGTGATTACGTTATGATTTCAGGAATTTTATAAGAGCATCGGATGGAGATGGAATAATCCGACTTACACAATTTGTTCATTTATTTTGAGATTGAGAGGTGGAAAATTGGACGCGATGGTGCAACGTAATCAGAGTCAGGTATTTGGATTAAATTAAATTATAACGTTAGACATTATTCTGGGAATGATGTTAAATTGAATTCTCAATTGGGTCGGGGATCGAATGCAGTTGTACGTTGTAAGAGATGTAATGAATAGTTTAGAATTTAAAATCTTGTCTGCAATATAATTAACTCGGGCTCAAGAAGTGAAAATGTGCGACAGGCGAGAAGAAAGTGTAATTGTTGGTATCACCACTATTTATCACAATTCAAATGATCACAAATTTGTTCACATGGTTAATTGATCATAAAATATTGAATCACATATTATTTTTTATTATTTATATAGTGGCATTTGAGGGGAGGGTTTATTTTTTTGAATTACCTATTTTTTAATTAAAGTTTTCGTTTAGTTACATGTGACATAAAAATTATTAACGATGACGCGATCATCATCGGTGGCCGAAGGGGTGAAATCATTCCGGAGAAAATCCGGAGAGCGGAACCCCGAATAGTGTATGACCAAATGAAAAATAGATTAAGAAATTATTGAATGAGAAGTGTTGAAATTATAGAATTTATGATACATAGACAAGAGAAATTAATTTTATTACATTATTCTATTATACTGCATTGACCATCCACGCCATAATGCATGCAATACATCTTTAACAATGGAAGACAAAAAGAGGTACAATTGGTAGTGAATATAATCCTTGCTGCAGGTTCTTCTGCGTAGATGAGACAGAATCTTAGAAAATTGAAGAAAATGTGGAAATTCTTGAGAATCAATAATCTCTAAGTTTTAGGTTTGAGCTTTTTCCCCTGTCTGAAATGATTATAGTGTGAAAATTGTCGTGGTTAAAAAATTAGTTGCAATGATATAAATGTAATGCCAGATACTCACCTATTGTTAATTGCAAATCCCAGTAACCTGTGATGTTTGTTTTCGATCGATTTATCGCTGAAAAAACAATGATTCAGCATTGTTTTTTTAATGAATTTTGAAAGGTATGCGATTGATAAACTTACCGACAGTAACAAGAGAAGTATATACGGTCTTCCAATTTCATAAAATTGTCTGTGCTGAAACCATCGTATAATAGTTTTTTATATCGACAAAAACTCTGGCACTGGGCCTCCCTCAGTTCATCGTCTATAGAAAAAAAAATTAAAAGGAATAAACAAACACTTAATGTAATAGTATTTTTCGATACGATTGCGGGAGTAGGATATTTTCGGACTGTTGAGTTGGGATTTTTTACTCGTGTGGAGTTGGCTTTTCCAGACGAGCGATCGTGAGAAGTACGCAAAAATCATTTATTTTTCACCTCTCAATATTCGCGTGTTTTTCAGAAATTTAATTCGCAATTGATTATGCACTTGAGTAAATCTTCCGCGGACTTGAATCAAGGAGATGTAGGTTTGAATGATGCTAGGGTAACAAAATAATACCAAATCTATATTAAAGTCGGTTTATATATTCATTAATACGGGCTGGTATATTGGCTACAGGCATTTTGGACTCGAATTAAGGGAAAAATATTCAATGATGATAAATCGCACGGATACTTGCATGAAATCTACCCTTTTTTCTCAGTGTGAAGAATGCAAAAACTCAAACTCGTTTATATCCTCTCGAATAAAATATATCTGCGAAATATTGAGAATTCAATAAGAAAACAACAAATTCACAACAAAAGGTCGGCTAAAGTCGATTGTTCTATTTTAATTTTTAGCAATAGGTATTTTCTATGTTTTTCATTGAAATTTAAAAAATTATTAAAAGAAAATGTTTAATGATTATTTTTTTCATCACAATTTCAACCAATCAAATGGTGGCATTTCCCGTCACGTGGTACAAGTGAAACGATTTTATTTTGGATATTTTTCGAAGATTTCCTAATAAAATAATTTTACTTATACCAGATGACGTGAAATGCCATACATTTAACTCCTCGAAATTGGAATGAAAAAAGAAATCGAGCGATCTTCAAAATTAATCGGATATTTCTCTCCAGTTTCAGTTACGAGAACGAACGCGCGCTACAGAGCGCTGTAATGATAAAAATCGTGATTAAAAATTGTTAATTTAAGTGAGTTTCAAATTCAAATTAGCCGCCTTAAACGACTGAACGAATGAGAAATAAGCGTGGCAGAGTTTCGAGATATCGATAGTCTCGATGTTTATCCTTTTTAGAACTAGCCCATTAAATGTGTGTATAGTATAGTGTGATGAGGTGACGATGCGATGTATGGTAGAGATGTCGCTTTCGATTATCGCAGTTGAACGATTATCGATATTCAATGTCAATTCGAGATATCCATGTATTTTTTATATCGCAGTTGAACGATTATCGATATTCAATGTCAATTCGAGATATCCATGTATTTTTTATATAAGGAATAAGGATAGGAAGGATAGCACCGATCGGGATAAATTTCGCGGGAAATTGATTTTACGGTGTTACTACTGAAAATTGACGAAGAATATAATAAAAATAACTTGAGACAAAGAAATTCCACAAAAAAAAATTGAAGAGAATGAACTAAATTAAATAGAAAGAAGAAATTTGTTACATTTCTGTTGGAAATTATTCGAAATATTTGAATAATTGCTTACCTTGCATTGAGAAGTCGGTGGTACAGAGTACGACGAACAGAACACCAAGGAAGTGGAGAAATTTCATTGCAAGCGAACAAGAGAACCTGTCAGGTCTTTCAAAGAGTTTTTTCAAACTGTCTGTGATTTTTCCATGGAATCCGAACTACACTCTGTCCACGACATTGTCACGCGGAAACCGTATCTTTTTCAATATTTCTGTTCATTGAAATTGACACGTTTTCAGATAGACGGAAAATTAAACAAAACAAGATAAGAAACATGGACAAAAATAAACATCGAGATAAAATTAGCCAATATTACCTATTGGAAAAATTCTGTAATAGTTCTTTGGAATTGTGACGAATTTTTCGGTTCGCTGACACTTCGAATTATTTGCCATGCTTGAGTGTTTGAGTAGGTGGGTCGGGAAAATTAAACAAAATCATTTGAAATGCCGTTCGTAATTGAATGTAGTTATCTCAGTTTTCAAATTAACCCTACAGGTTTTCTATGACAGTTTGACTCGAAAAATTTATGTGACGGTATCGTAATTCCTCAAATAATTCAGATAAAAATTATGGAACGCCAGAGAAAAATTCCATGACTTCAGATAAAAATTACGTGACACTTCCAGAAAATTTCCTACAGCTATATTTCACTCTGGAATTATTGAAAAGTCACGTAATTTTTATGGAATATTTTTCTCAGTGTACCAATAATTTATTCCCGGTATCAATATTCCACATAAAATTGTTTCACTCTTATGTCATCCATTATTAACTTAGACATTATTCCCTAAATTACCTAAACATCCTAAACAAAGGAAATAATTTTATTCTCTTGTGAGTTCCTCACAAAATTTTGCTCAGCCAGAGTATGTATCTGGAAAAATTTATGAAAAAATGGTAAAATCCGTCGCATTTTTATTTCTGGGGCATGTTAATCTCAACTGAATCCTTCGTTTTCTCATCATTTTTATGACAAGATCACAATAATTTTTATTCACATCACAAAAAACTCTCACGAAATCTTGCGTGTATAGCACAGCTGTCCTCAGCTGAGAACTGATTTTTAAAAATTTATTTTGGCTAGCCATGAATCACCATGAGGTGGCGATTTTTACGGAACGTTTCGTAATTTTTCCGGAATGTTTCGTCAAAATTCTTCAACATCCAAGAATTTTTTAATTCTGAGGCATAATAAATCTTGAAGTTTCATTCGATTTTAAAGCTTCTTGAAAAATTACGTGACTTTTTCGTATTTTTTCGGTGACAGAACCCGAAAATTTACTCAAAGTTCCAGATTTATTCCTCGAGAAAGATTTTCACTGACGGATTGCGTGAAATGTTCCGTAATTTTTATTGAATATTTCTCTCCATCTGGAAAAAAAGAAATGTTACAGATCACCTGAAATTGTTGGTCGAGGCGAAGCCGAGACTGACAAAGAAGTGATCTGAGCCTTTTTTTTGGCCGAAGTGTGTATCCAATTTTTTAAATTTGAAGGATGTTCAACCGATTCCGAAAAAATTCAGTAAAGTCTATATTTTTTTTATACAATAACTGAGAGCATGAACCATATGCTAGTCACATTTTCGACCATCCCGTCCATCCATTTTAGCGAGATAATAATTATTGAAAACATTTTTGTGTAACACATAGTCTTAGGGAAAATGTGACTGCGTTAGCTTTGATTGAAAAGGGCACTACAATACAATAGAAATTCGTGATTGATTTTTGAAAAGATCTGCAAAAAAGTGGCCGCCATTGCGGTTGTATAATATTGACAACATTGATGTTACAGCTGAGCAATGTCGGCAAGGTAGATGACGATGAAACAGTGATGGCGGAGCATCTTGTTAAATGGAGTGTTGCACGATCAAAACTCGAGCGTTCACAGCAGTCATACGTCAGTATAACTAAACATTTTTAAGACATTCAAGTTTGCGAGGCTGCCCTGAAATGATTATAATGTGAAGATTTCCGTGGCCAATCAGTTGCAGTCATACAAACGTAATACCAAATACTTACTTTCAGCTTTAATTACAAATCGGTATAAATTGGGAGCAGGACGTCGGATCGACTTATCCCTGGAAAGCAATGATTCAGCATAGTTTTTCAATTAATTTTGAAAGGCATGCGTTTAATGAACTTACAGACAGTGACAACGATAGTATATAACGTCGTCTCCATATGGATAATAATTGTCTGCGTCGACATAAGCGAATGAGAGTTTTTTATCTCGACAATGATGTTTGCACTGGCTCTGTCTCCAGCGATTCTCTGAAGAAAAAAAATTTTGAGGGATGAAAAAACATTTGATATAATAGTATTTTCGATACGATTGCGGGAACAGTATATTTTCGGACTGTTGAGATGGGGTTTTTTACTCGGGCGAAGTTGGCCATTTCCAGACAAGCGATCGTAAGAAGTACGCAAAAACCACTTTTCCGGGGGTATCGAAATATATTTTTCACCCCTCAATATTCGTGTGTTTTTCAGAAATTTCATTTGTATCAATTTCGATTGATGGTGCACTTCAGTAAATCTTGCGCGTACTTGAATCAAGGAGATATGGGTTTGAATGACGCTAGGTAACAGGAGAATACGAAAGCTATATTCAAGTGTGTCCATATATTCATCAAGACGGGCTGGGATATTGGCTCGAGGCATTTTGGACTCGAATTAAAGGAAAAAAAATTGAATGATGATAAATTGCATGGGTACTTCCATCCTTTTTTCCCAGGGTGTAGAATGGAAAACCTCAAACTCATCTTATGCTCTTAAACAAAATATATTCGCGGAATAATTGAGAACTCCAAGCTTTGATACAGATGAAACTATTCAATAAGAGTCGATTTTTCCATTTAATTCTTTCGCCATAGATATTTTGTATCCAATGTTTTTCACCTAAATTTAAAAAAACATAAAAAAAAATTTAATGAAAATCGAAGAAGAGTATAATAACAATAACTTGAGGGAAAGAAATTCCAGAAAAAAATTGGAGAGAATAAGCTAAACTGAATAGAAAAAGAAATTTGTTACTTTTCTGTTGGAAATTATCCGAAATATTTAAATAATTGCTTACGTTGCATTGAGAAGTTGATGGTACAGAGTACGACGAACAGAACACCAAGGAAGTGCAAAAATTTCATTGCAAGTGAACAAGAGAACCTGTCAAGACTTTCAAACTGTCTGCGATTCTTCCATGGAATGCGAATCATACACCTCATCCAAGACATTATCGTCACACGGAAACCGTATTGTTTTCAATATTTCTGTTCATCAAAATTGACACGTTTTCAAATAGACGGAAAAAGAAACATAAGACAAGATAAGAAACAGATAAAATTAAACATTGAGATAAAATTAACCAATGCGGCCCATTGAAAAAATTCTGTAATAGTTCTTTGGAATTGTAACGAATTTTTTGGTTCACTGACACGTCGAATTATTTGCCATGCTTGAGTGTTTGATTAGTTGGGTCGGGAAAATTAAACAAAATTATTTGAAATACCGTTCGTAATTGAATGTAGTTCTCAGTTTTCAAATTAACCCTACAGGTTTCCTAAGACAGAATTTGGATCGAGTCATCAGTTCCAACAATTTTGCGGGAAAATTATGAATTTTCTGTTCTGAGGGATAATAAGTCTTGAAGTTCCGTTCGATTTTAAAACATCCAGAAAAATATGGGATTTATTCGTATTTTTTCGGTGACAGAACAAGAAAATTTACTGAAAGTTCTAGATTTACTCCCCGAAAACGATTCTCGCGGGCGGATTACCTGGAATGTTCCGTAATTTTTCTGGAATATTTTTCTCCGTGTAGGTTTTGATTTCTCCAAATCAAGAGTGAGAGACATGCCCCGAGTTGCTCCTTAACTGCTATGCATTTCTCCAATAGTTAATTTGAGGACTTGAAAAATTTTGGACTTTTCCAATTTTTGCGGAAGAAATATCAATGAAATGAAATCACAAATTCACACGTCACGATGAAAAAACCAAATGAAAAACTTAAAAAATGATCTGAAACCAAAACAAAATAGCTAAAAAAAATGATCAAAATAAACATAACAATGAGTACTCCACATCGTCTCCATTTTATTATAAAATCCATACAGGACTCAATGAAAAATTTGATAATTATAATTATCCACGAAAAGAGATTTATTTATTAAGTAAGTATTTATTTATTAAGTAAGTATTTATTTATTAAGATTGTTGGAATAATTCCCTGGCATAATTTCCTCTTCGAAAACTGAATAAAGGATTGGAAGATAATCAGTATGTGACAAACGTACGCTCATCTCTGCAAAAGAAAGTTTATAAGAAATTGAAATTCAAATAAATAAATATTCTTCATCCGTGCACTTCCGACTTAATTTATCCACCTGTACAATTCAATACCCCTCGGCAAGAGGTCTTTGGAGAGAAGAGGAACTAATTGCGCACGCGGTCGCGTCCTTTGACTTTCTCCGTGAGATTTCCGGAGGAGTAGTTTTGTAAGACATTGGAATAACCAAACCGGTTGATAATAAAATTCATCTTTATCGTGAACGGATTATATCCCTCCGAAGAAGACCAAACGCAGAAAGTGATCGTTACGAGATATATATAACGGAATTAATCGCTGAAGGAGTAAAATGGGAAAGAATTCGCGAAAATATTTCCAGGAAGTCACTTTACTATCTCATACATTTTTTCTTAACTTTTCTTTCTCCATTTATTCTGCATAAAAGTTGAAGAGGTTGTTAGCAATAAAGTGGATAATTTAGATTCTGCCGCATGATTCATGTCATTAGGTTATTAGATTATATTTCTTCTAGACAATTCCGTAGGTGAAAGGCCATTATCGGATATTTAGATAGATATATCAATTTTGAGGAATCGTGGGAAATCACAAATAGAATGTTTTGGAATTTTATTAACATGTCGGGATTACTATTTACTACACGAGAACTACTGCACTGAGAAAAAAATTTTCTTTAGGCGAGAATATTTATTAATCACAAGAAAATATATTTGGCATTAGTAAGTCTTATGGGAGTATTTACGCAGTGATCGCAAGATTTACTGGTGGGAAGAAAATATTCTTGGCAAAAATAATTTTTTTTCTCAGTGTGCGCACGCCGTGCGCCGAATTTGAATTTGGCGGTTGGAGTTGACCAATGAGGAAGCCGTCCCATGCGTTTCGAGATATTTCGACTCGGGCAAACTTCATTTTTGTGTTTCTACTTTCATAATAAGGAATTCCATTAGCCAAAATGTCGGACGAAAGGTTGAGGGTCTTTAGCCCCGGGTGTAAATGCCTTTGTTTATACGATATTCATGTCGGGGATGACTTCAATAGATAATGTGATGTCTGGAGAAAGCTCGATTATATCGTTGCAGTTGGCTGTAGGGGAAGGTGGGGCAAAATGGGGTAGCGATAGAAAAGGGATCTTGGGACTGATTGGAATGGTGGGACGAAGTGGAACTAGGAAAATAATTCGATATGCTATTGGGGGATGACACTTCAATGATTTCAAGTAAAAAACTGAAGTTGATGTTGAAGTTTTAAAAATGACTAGGTGACGTGAAATTTCTGGAGAATCCTTCATTGACAAATCAATTGATTTATTGAGTACTCTGGTATTTTTGAATTTTCAGGTCCACGTGGCACCGGAAAACCGTGAATATCTTTAAAATTGAAATATTATTATTATTTATTTTTATTATTTATTTGGATAGTATAGCCTTATGTGGCTTTTTGTAATCCCTTCTAAATTATAAATATATGTATATATGCATTCCCTTATGTCTCTGTCATTATGACACTTTCGTAAATGGAAATTGAAATAATTTCCGTCAATTGTCAATCTATCGACAATTTATTTTTATTTGATAGTGAACTTTTACGATGAGTATAAAAATTCATGGTTTCATTGGAAAATTGAAATTGAAACAAAAACAAATCGAAATTGTAAAACAAAATTAAAATATACATATTTGACCTAGTCACCGTATTCTGCAAATTTGGCATAAACATGAATTAAACGATCATGAAAATCATCAGCATCGTCATTCAATATGGAAAATATAATAAATATTCGAGCCAATTAATAAAATATTTGATAAAACATAAAATCTGAAAAAGCTGAGCATAAAATATATTTGACTCAAATATTTTTGGATTCGTCGAATTCATAATCATAATCATTTTTTCAATGACGAAACTTTATTAATTGTATCAAGCTTTCTTTTTCGCTGACATGTCTTGTTATATTCCGATATTTCCTGGAGTCTTATCCCTCGTGTGATCACATGAAAGGTTTACATTAGATAATATTTTAATTTCCATACAAAAAAAAACTAGCTTAATTAGGGCTAACAAGTCTAGTCGAATGTTATTTTCACTTAAAAAAAAAAACAGTGAATGAAGAAAGTGAATGAGAAGTCACTCTGAAAACGAAATTCTCTACTCCGAATAAATTAAACTATTGTTCTTTTCCCCTCAGGATATTTCACAACATCTGCTCTAGGTCGTGTCATCGATTTTTCGAAATTTGCCTGCTGCCATGTTTTATTGTTCTTTATCAGATCAGAGGGGCAAACAGACATGAAGAAATTTTAGTTGCTCGAGGCTGATGTTTCATCTGAGTCCTTTCCTTTTCTCCACGCCAAATAACTTGAGGGGAATGACATATTCGTGGGTTAGAGGAATCACCGAGTGGAAGAGGCACCATTGACTCTTTCGTAAGCTCGACATTGCGATCATGAATCTTACTTCATCTCTCGTGTACACAAAACTCCTTTCCCGCGATGTAGGAGATCATCCCGGAGATCGATATATCCCTGGTAATCATATTCAAATTTTATTGCAAATTATTCTTGACATTCTGGAAATTTGTTTCACGACACAATTTTTTAGCTCTGATCTCTCTTTCTTGCTCTTTTTTTTGGCGTTGTGGATTGATTTTTACACTGAGAGAAATATTCAATAAAAATTACGTGTATTTTCCGTAATTCTGGAGCGAAATATGGTTATCGGAAATTTTACGGAATTGTCACGTAATTTTTATCTAAAGTCACGGAATTTTTCTTCGACGTTCCGTAATTTATATCTGAATTATCTGTGAAAAAAATACGATATCATTACTTAAAATTTTTGAATTGACTCCGTAATCGGTAAGTGAACTGAAAGTTCTGTAATTTTTACTAAATATTTCTCTCCGTGCAGGACAATAATAATCATTTACTCGACATGCGTTAACTTTTACCGAGCGTTAAATATTCATTTGTTGATATCGTTGATGTTGAAATCGCATTTAACAAGTCGGTATAGTTGTCGGATGTTAATTAGGCATGTAATCATTAAATCCCTTTGGAAACTGTCTCCTTTTCTCAATGCACTCTCTCCAAAATCGCAACAGTATTTATTTCAAGCGATAGAACTGAATCACATCGGTACGTTCTCCATTTTCCATTCACAATTGACAAGATGTACCCTCGCGTAAATCCAGGTAAATGGGAGAAGGGCACGGAGAAAAAACGATTATTTCTTGTTGCATCGTCAATTGCGTCCTGAGAAGAGCAGTGGAATAATGGTCGAGCATGTTTGCGCAACAATTCCAATTTCACAACTGGTACTCATCCGCATCCGGATAGTTGGAGATGGTTTATATTCCTCAGCAGGTAGCAAACACAGATGATCCGATTACCATTTTAACTTATCATCATTAAGTCCAAAAGGGGAATGAATATATTACCGCTTCTTTGAGGTTGAATTTGTGTCGAGAGGAAATCAACGGCACGTCTTGAGTTATTAAAATGGTCATAACCGATCTTGGGAATTCAAACTAATTGGCGAATTACTATGCGATGCACTTCCTGATGATAGGCAAATACCAAGTAATTAATGATGACCGCAGGACCAATTGGAGTTTTATGGATTGCCATGGAGCTAGGAGTTCGAGGATGAATAAACATTTCATTTCGAAATTAATATTCGTGCTTTAGAGGTTTATTTATATTGTGTATTATTCCAAATTATCGTTTTCTTATTACGCGCCGAAGAAAAGACAATTTTATTTATTACACCGAAAGAAAAATACCGGAAAAATTACGGAACTTTCACGTATTCTTGGGGTGACCTTGGTTTTCGGGAAAAAATACTGTAAGTTCCATAAAAATTTTCGTAGCGAGCAGCAATTTTTACCAAACTTTCAGGACAATTTTACGGTACCTCCAGTACTTTTTTCCGAAAAGCAAGGTGACCCCACGAATACGTGAAAGTTCCGTCATTTCTCCGGGATTTTTCTCTCCGTGTACTTGCAATGATTTCCATGAATTACTGAATAAAATTAAAATAAATATTCGATGACACGGTGGATAACTTTTGGTAAAATTTCAGATTGAGAAAAGGAGAAAAAGGAATTACCGATTGAATGGAATGGCGCACAGATATTTTTTTATTGTTTAATGCGGGCCATGTATGCCTGTTGTTTTTTTTATGAAGTCTTCCGTCTATTGATGGATTTAGTAAACCGTTGTGAATATTATCACGAGGTGAAAGCCTTCGACGGTCAAAAATCGAGGGGAAACAATGTGTGCCGAAAGGTCATGCTGTCAACGATCGGTATATCGACAAAAGTCAATGATGTTAAATCGTTAACCATTCGATGAATTTTCTATTACCTCAATACTCGATATTATTTTTCCAACATTATCCATTACCGTAAGAGTCAATAATTTTTTTTTACGATAAATCATTACAATCTTTTTACTGACATTTTCAGGAAATTGTTTTACGTTTCGCTTACTGTCCAACACGTCTCACGAGGATCGCTCTGGAAGAATTTTCCTACGATTTCAGTAAATTTTTGAAAAAATTGACAAATTTTATCAAAAATTAAGAAAAATAGGCGCATGACTATGAAAATTTGTTATTAAATAATCGTAAAGACTAAAAATGGTAGATTTTTTACACGTCAATCTGATCCAGAAGATATCTGAAGATATCGGCAATAACTTCTTTACCTACGCAATATTCTTTATTCGATCTTTTTTTTTCGTGTAGCTCTCATTGGATTCTACCTATCGCCGTCAACAAAAGTTGGTTCTATCCATCTTTTTTTATTT